ACAAGCTCTCCCTTGGGAATCCATAGATGTAGACCTAAACCTCCCCTATGCCACGGACAACTAACTTGTACTCCAAACACGGTCTCTTAACCGTAAACCGTGTCTGCTAGGGAGCAGCAGCATATCATTTTCCTTACACTTTTTTAACAGAAGGCAGAGTCTGTCTCAACTTCTTGTGTGGACTTCCGCTCAAAGCATTAGATGTGCACCAGGCATGCCCACCAGACTGAAGGGGGAGGTGTAAGCATGCTTAGGCCTGGGCTATTGATTAGCTAGGAGGCAGCGTCAAACTGTTCAGCCCTAAGACTGACGCACACATCCGGATGTGCTCAGAAGAAATCTTGGAAACTTCAAAGTGCAAAAAATAAGTTGAGGCACCCACTGAGTGCTGTCAGTGGCAGCTGTCAAATGCAGTAGGTGCCTCTGGACTTAGCATAAATCCTGATTTAGTACCTCTTTATCCCCATGTCTGAATCCTTCCTAGCATAAATCCTGATTTAGTACCTCTTTAGGTCCCCATGTCTGAATCCTTCCTTCCTCACTCATATCAGCTGCGCTGTACTGGCCCATCACTTGCCATCCAGCCATTAATGTCTCATGTGATTATTAATTACCTTGAAATGCTCCTTTAGAAGTAACCCATAACTCTATTTACAAAATTCACATAAAAAGAGCAGATGGTTTTACAGGGCTTTCTTCTTCCTCAAAACATACCTGACCTCCTTTCAGCATATCCTTACTAAATTGCTTTCCACTTAGCTGTATATAAACTTAGCCATTAATTCCACCAACATGTATCTGCGCTTTACCTTATACAAATAAGTAGTCCCAATGTGAAATCAATCCTTATCTGAGGCAGAGATCATAAACCACAGCCTTAACTGTATATAGCATCACTGAAATCAATAAAGCCATCCCAAATTAAACTGGCAAATGGTCTTGTTTTACATATCTTTAATCTAGACCATTTCAACCTATTGTGAATTAAGAGAGTGATGTAGTGAACATCTCCTGTACTATACATTGTTTTTTGTCTTAGTAAGCTACTGCTTACTCCAGTGACTACTAGTGCTTAATGAGTTTCTTGACATATCCTCATTGTCATGTCATTTGAAATAGTACGGTTAAAAGAAAAGATGACGTTATCAAATACAAATCGGGTCTAACACAAGCTAACAAGGAAAAACAAGCTTATATTGGTTTTATAAACCTGTCACTTAACAATTTCATCTCCCTGTGACTAAGCACTAAATATAAATACTGCGTTAAATCTCCCAAGCTTGGTGCATTTGATAGAAGGAGTTTAGAGTTTAGTACTACAAGTATATACTAATGAGATCCCTTTGGTATTACTACAATACACTGGTTAATTACAGAGCCTACATTTATTCATGGGATATATCTTTCTTCACATGTATAGCGATTGTTCCGTATGGTTAAACACACTAGATACAAGCAAACTTCTAAAATAAAGTTAACAAAATTTATCATTACAAATTGGGAAGTGTTTTTTGACTGGACAATTTTCCATTTTACAGGTGAGAAAACCAAAGCACGACAGTATCACCAGGCCACCCAGCAGGCCAGTGCTTATTGCTAGATACTGACCCAGGAGAAAATCAGAGCACTTAGGGTAGTTCTATAAAGCAAATATTTCATTCCAAGTCAAACTAGTCTGAAATGAGCTATTTCTCCATTTTAGATTTTCTCAATGGAAATTGATTTGGGGTTTTTGGGTCATTCTGAAATTTCCCAATGAAAACACGTGTACACCTTTTTGCAGTAAAATGAAAAATGTTAGTGGATATTTTGTACTCTGGCAGAGAATGCAAAACAGTACTGCAATGACTCCAACCCTCTTCAGCTCTGATGCAGAAGGAGCGTGCTCCACTGAACTACCATCACCACGTGCTTCAGAACAGGGAACTCCTTGGAAGACTTTCCCTTTCTGCCTGGCCGTGGCATCCCCTGCTGAGCTCGAGGGAGCTGGCAGAATTAGTACAAAGTAGCATGTGGCAGTGAGCCATAAAAAGCAATGCATTTCCGAACAATTACGGCACCTTTTGTTGGTGCTGGGAGACACAAGGCTTCAGTCCAAGTGCTTAGCCACTTGAGAAGTGCAATTAGGCGCTGGAAATGCACTGCCTGGAACAGTCCCTCTTGAGCAATGGAAATTACCAACTAAAATGGGAAATTAGAAAAAAAAAAAAAAGTTTCTTTTTGTCCCGTTGTTTATTGGAACCTCCTTATCAACCCCGCTGCTTCTTTCCTTTTTACCCAAAGTTTACGCAAATCAAGGCAACAAATCACTATTCCTGCCCTACCCTTTTTACAGGTATGTTTAAAATGTGTGAAAATATTATTATTACTTTTATACCGCACCACTGTGCAACACTGTTAGTCATGTCTGCATGTCTCCTTGTACCTTTTCAACAGCACCTTACCTCACAATTTTTCCATGCATTTACAATGGAAAAATTCTAGGAAGGTATCTCAGTCTTCACATTTTCTTGCTCATGTCTTATGCTCTAACCCACAACTCAATATATCATGACTGCCTGTGTAGCCACCATTTTGCCAGTATGTTTCCGTGATAGATGAAGGGTGTATGAGGCTAGTAGTTCATTGTATATGAGTTATGACTACTGCCTAAAAGCATATATTAGTGCAAGTTCTCCTTGCCAAGGGCTACAATTCCAGAGCTTTATCCTAATTTCGGGAGCAAGTAAACGGCAAAGGATATAGTTCATAGTGAAAATGCCAACCCCAGCAAATGCCGAAAAGATGGACTTTTATGTGTCTCTGTCTTTCAATAGAGTAAGCTGTTGAAAATCAAGCTCGTACGGGTAAACAATCCACAAAATAGGGGAAAAAACCCACTTGTTTGACAACTACATCAATAATAGCTATGGTAATAAACAAGCGCTCAGTTCCATTACTGGGAAGAGCAGTATATCTACCCTTTATGCTGGCAATTTAGAGCTAATACAATTTCATTAATTTTTCCAGATATTAACTTGCAATTGAATATCTCAAGCAAAAAAAAAAGTTTATAGTCAAAAATCATATTCTTAACTCTGTACTTCAGTTCTTCTCAGCAGGACATAAAATCAATGGGGAAAAAAAGCGAGAATATAAAACAAAAAAAATTTAAAAAATTAAAACATAAAAATATAAAACTTCAGAGAAGTTGTAGGAAGCAGCATTAAAAGGAAACTTAAGAGGCCATGTGATACACTTCTATGCTTGAACATCTGTGTCACCCATTGAAAGAGCCTAGTTCGAGACATTTGAAATTTACTCTCAAGTCTCTATGGTTTCTTAAAGTGATATAAGAAACAGGTATTTGGAGGCAAGATGATGAACGAAAGGAGGCTCAGAGACCTGTAAAGGGGAAGCTAGGGCTGATGAGAGCAAGGCTGGACAAAAATCTGCAGAATGAAAACAAGCAGAATAGCAGCAGTTAAAAAAAAAAAAAAGGGAGGAGAAATACAAAAAAACCCACCCCTCCATACACATGCGTATAAGCAGACAAAAATGTCTTTCCCTGTGTATCTCCTAATGACTCCCTCAGAGGAAAGGAACAAAGAGGTATACAATAAAATGATACAGCTGAGAAAGACACCACCTGAGAAAACCTATGGTAACGTAATTACCATTTCCATAGAATAAATATTTTTTTTAAACAGCCAGTCCATAAGCAAGTCTGTCCACAGTTCTGTATTTTTTTGGCGTGTCTAGACAAGTAAAAGCATGTGCAATGGCTGGTTCAGAGCTTTGCACATACTGACCAGCATGCTGGAGCTGCCTCTTGCAACGAAAAGGACAAAGTTATAACTTGCTTTCCCTTCCTTAGGACACTACCTTCCATCTTCCTTCTAAGCCAGCTGTTGACTTTCAATAAAACTTACAGTTCATAGATTTTGGCCATCCTACTCTGACACTCAGGTGAAATTGGTCAATAGGTTCAACCAAGTATTGCTGTCAAGAGCAGGGACAGCGAGGGCATTGGAAAGGAAGGAAAAGGATAACGTGCATAGGACTCATTTACACGAGGAACCAGGGTTAAATACATAAAACAACCTTAAAGAAGAAAAATATACATATCTGTTCTTCAATCAGTACCATCGGGAAAGGCAATCTGGCATCGGAAAACCTTTTTCTGAACTGGAGGAGGAAATCTTTATGTAGGGCTTATTCCTGCTCACATTCCAATAGGTGAAAAGCTGTCATCAATCTCAACCTGAGCAGCAGCTCTAATTCCAAGAGGCCCAAACAGAAACAGAATGAAAATGCATTTATTTCATCTTTAAGTGACACTCTTCAGAATAGACTTTAGAATTGCTTCATATCTGAAACATCGCTGCCCTGTCCAAAGGTTTAATAGAAAAAAATCTGAATGGTTGCAGTAATATTCATCTATGATGAGCATAAAGATAATTTATTTAAATAGCAGATTTACATATGTGCCCACAAATCTTATTGTTCCAGTTCTGAGACTGAGATATAATGAGAAAATGTGAATTCATTTATCCAATGAACATAGCACAGCAAAACTGCTGTGTATTAGATCTGTAGATCACATGTACAGTATATTAAATTCACTTAGTAGACAGATAATTACGTTTCCATGTAAAAGCCATTATCAATAATAAATAATTAAATATATGTATGACTTGACAAATAGTGTGCCAGGATTATGCAGATAATCATATTTAATTCAGTAGTTGCTTCACTGCTAACAAATAATAACGAATACACCATTGCATGTTCTCCACCATGATACATTTACTTTATTCAAATTTCCCAAATGCATAGATATCTGAACTTTTCAATTAATTTCACCCTAAGGCTCTCAAAGCAAGTAATGCATATTACCAGGTAGACTCCTGAAAATAAATCTAGCTTATCTCATTTCCTTTCTCATTGCAGTCTTTATCCTGAGGAAGAATCAAAATGCCATTGCTGTAAGAGAAATTAAGTTAGTAGAAGCTCTCTCTTCATGTACCCCTCGCTGGGCAAGGGATAGGTTTGAAGGTCAGTTCCGTGTTCTCCATCAGTACAAAATCATATCTGCACAGCTGCAGCCTACAAAAGTAGAAAAAGAAAAAAAATGTGCACAACAGAAAAAGTTAACATCAATAGAAAAGTATTTCAGTATTTTAATTATTAAACCTCCAGTATTTAACTACCTCTCAGAGACCGTACTCAGGACAAGAAGAAATGTCTTCTTGTCCAAGTTTACACCCTATTTTACGCATCACTGGAGTAGTTTCGCTAGACTGTGAACAACAACCAGGACATCAGCTGGATGGTGCAAAGTGGCATGAGTAGGAAGTGTATCACATTAGTCTGAAATATGAAGATGCAATACTTCATCCATTAAAGCTATTAATCTGCATTCAAATTAATTCTTTAGAGCAATGGTCCAAGAACAGCCCGATTCCTGTTAACACTGGGCCTGAATAATTTATTTTGAGTTCCCTAGGTATGAAAGCTTCTCTGCTTTCATTCCACAGAGGAAAGTAGAAAACCACATCATAGCATCTTCTAACTCTTTCAGTTGCAATGACAGCATGCGTAAGAAAGCTTCATGCAAGAGAGTAATTTGTCATCTCAACACCTAGAAAACTCAGAACTGCATAATACTACAGGAACACATACAGAGGTCACAAAGGGAGTCACACACACACACTGAATCTTACTTTTTGAGGTCAACATAGATGCTCTGCCTTTTAGGGCAGAGGCAGGTCATAGCTCTGCCCTTCATGCGCTACTACAGATAGATGGTGAGAGCTGGTTTGAACAGGCAAATGACTAGCATACCCTCTGATGGCACCTCTAAGGGCATACAAGCTATGATACTTATTTTTATTTAAAATTTTCTTCCATATTGCTCTGAACTCACAGATGTCGCTATACAACACAATCGACCTCGGGCTGGGATGTAGCGTACAGTGAACGTAGCGTAAAGGACAAAGCCTGAGAAAGAACATCCCGCCAGGCACTTCTGTTGTTGCCCATTAGCGTGAGATTTCCAACCAGTCAAGGCTCCACCTGTCTGTATGTGAAAGGACTGTCAGATTTCTATGTGAGAATTTGAGGCCCTTTAAGGACCCCACAAAGCTAAGATAGTAGATTTTATGACTAAGAAGATCAAGACAAATTCTGGTATTCCGTATAACGCAAAGCATAGAATTTCATCCAGTCTCCATCCACAATTTGTTTTGATTTGAATTTAATGGTTTACTATTATATTGTTTTTGTAGAGGGAGAAAAGAAGACATAAAAGCACAGAAATTGCCAGCATTTTAAAAGTCCGCATAAAAGCCTGTGAAAGAATTCACAGGACAAATTTCCAACCAGAACAATGAAGGATTATTATATGCATCCGTTTCCTGAGTTGACTTTCGATATCTCACGTAACAATACAATGCTGTATTTTAGCACATTTGCAACAGTATTTGCAACACAGCGGCACAATGTGTTAGCACAGCCAGTTCTCCAACAGCAGTCATCACGTGGGAAGGCCTCTATCTAACCACAGGGGACACAATACTTAGACAAACCATAATGATGAATGCTAGAAATAAAAACATATGGTTTCCAACATATGGTATCTCATTTGAAGTGCAATCCATCTAAGCTTGTGATTACTGAGTACCAGGAACGCCTTACAGGAGAGTAGCCCCAAGTGAGGAGCAGGTTCTCCAGTTCACTGACAAGGAGCAAAACACAAACAATTTTTTATTAGGTGAGGCTTTCATAATCCCTCACCCTGTGTGGCTTCTCCGCTGTCTACTAAAAAGCAAGGGCATGCCACACTCTCTTGTTCAGTAGAGGTATTAATAAGGTCTTCTTTATTATTCCTGTTCTCGTTTTGGTTAAAAAAAACAAAGGTGGCTGGGCTAAGTATCTTTGAAACATTCACCTTCCCCATGAATTGAGTTTGAATTGACTGACAGGTTCAAAAGCTTTTTGGGAGAATTGACACCTGGACACACACAAGTCAGGAAAGCTGTCTGTTTTTATGGGTGAGCAGGAATTATTCATCTCAGAGACCAGAAGAAGAGTCTGAAAATTATATGTACCTTTTAGCACTCCCACATTCACACACCACCTGTGTGAATAATGGAGCAGCCCAGCAGGCAACTGTTAGTGATATTCCCCAAACTCCCACTGTCTGCTGTTAACCCCGATCTGGGGAAACTGAGACTCCTATTGTCTTTTATCCCTGCACCTGTCCCCTGGTTTTTACCTACTACTTTGTTATACAAATAATTTAAATATTTGTAATGTAGTTTCTAGTTGATTATCCTGTATTCAAGGAATTGTTGTAATTACAGGTAACTGAATAAAGTAAATATAAGTAGTTATAATTACAATGAGCGATTATGTAATTATACCAAGAAATAGTGTTGTAACATCTGCATTTAAATTACCTTTACATGCTGATTTAACACACCATTTTCCATTGCTATCTAAAAGTATCTAATGTGCCTATATGACTGCCATCTGATGAGGCTCCGTGTGAAGGACTTTAGTGGATCCTATATTAAAGCAAATCAAGTGCATCTTACTTCAAAACTAACAAGAGTCAGAGTAACAGGAGTGAAAACTCAAAACCAGTAAGGGATGTTCACTGAAAGTCTTCCTTATTTACTAGATCATTATCTGAAGAAGTTCTGAATGCTGATAGGCTTGCATGAAATGCATCTTCTGATTTATCACCGTTGGGTCGAGAAAAAAAAAATTGCAATATGATTTAGAGCTTTGACTATCTCTCATCACCAAATGCTTTTAAATAAAATCATGCCAGTTCACCTGAGAGCTTGAGACTTACAGCCTTCAACAAAAGTCTAACGTATAGACATTTTGGGGTAATATTTTGATTACTGTTCTGTTTCTTTCTAAGTCTCTCCCACCCTTTTCCTCCTTTTCAGAAAATACAAAATAGCAGATTGATTTAACAAGGTTTCATAATTTTTACAAAGTATCATACCCAATTGCTACTAGACTATTATCATACACCAAATCAGAAAGCCTTAAATGTTATTTCTCAAATTAACAAAATATATTCACTTACAACTTACTCATATTGTAATATTATTCCCACTCATTACTTATTTGATAACCGTTATTAGATTTTATTTTAGATTCTGACTTTGTTGAATCTGCCATTCATATGAAGCAAATTAACATAATAACTCTAAAATAAATTACTCTTGCTACTCCTGGATATTTCTTACCTATTCCATGTAATATGTTATTTTCACAAGATGCAAATGTAAAATTTAATTACTAATGCTATTGTACAAGTAAGTCTGGAGATCTAAAAAATTAACATATGGCAATACTGCTCAAGTATTTAAAACCAGAAATAATTAATAAAAGCTTAGTAACAACACTTAAATATCAAAATATGCAGATGATTTCAGGTTAAGTGTAGGCAAGCATAGACTGTGTTTTGGTCTTGGAAGGTCTTTACCATCAGCAAGAAGACCAAAACCCATTCCAGTCACACAAGTAGCTGAAGTGCTCCGTTTCACATCTGAGTGTGAAAAGCTGTGTACAGACACATGATTAAAATCAGAGAAGTGCTTAATAAAATTTGTCTTCTGGAAGAGAACTTAACCATGCAGGTCTAAGTCAGGCTAGTCTACATAAGTGGTTCTTGAAAACCCGTTGTGACCAGACAGCAGCAGCAGCCTGCTGTAACAAGCAGCATGCTTGTTGACGTCTACATGGACGAGAGATGGAAAGTGAGGGTGCTGTGCACTAAATGTTAATGTACAGAGCAGCTCTTCCACATGATAAATTTGATCCTAGGTAGGATGAGAAGGATATTCATGCATTTAGAAATACGCGATTAAAAAATCAATAGAGGGAAATACAAACCCTGAGAAGTTTAGTTGATACACAACTTTGACACATGACAAACACTTACCTTTCTGGATTATTAAGAGATTTCAGCCGCATCTGGAGGATCCTAAGCTTGTGTTTTGGGCCTATTAAAGTCTTCGTAGAAAAGGTCAAGGAAATTTTCGATATTTTGTCAAGGTCTCGGTAAAATCCAGTTACTATTTTGACTCTTTTATATTGCTGAAATGTTGAAGCTTCACTAAAGAAAAATATTATTTCGAGTCAGGGTTTTGTTAGCTGAGTAATATTCAGTATTACTAAGCATTATTATTAAGGTCAGAAATCTTGTAAGATGTACTGACTTTGAGCGTTCAGAACAAGGACACCTAGAACTGGATTCAAACCAGTACCATGCAAGGACCTGGGCTAGTTCATAAATGGAGAGAGGATCATTTCAGTGTGGGAAGCATTGCCTCTGACACTGAGCCATATTCAGGAAAAGGAGCCATGGCCAAGTCTTAACAACCTCATGATACTTTTTTGACTTACAAGTTAGCAAGTTAAAAGGTTTAGGAAACTCAGAAAATTAGCCATATAAAGTGATTAAAAAGATTTAGAGACAAAGCACAACATACCTATTCATCTCTGACTCTACTGTGTTTCCAGCATAATCTGTTATTTTAACTTTAATGAAACCTCTCCTAATGCTTTTATTCCATGTAGTAATATCCAGTAAGTAGTTATACACTGCAAAAAGAAATAGGAAATAATAAGATTCAAAGAATGACCTCAACAGGATACAGTTGTTATTATCATTCTGTTAAAAGTATTCACTGGTAGATGATAGGAATAGTGACTCTTTACTTCTAGGTTACCAACTCAAAGCAGAATAAGAAGGCTATTGACAAAAATTAGCTTCTACCAAGTGGCTACTTGGAGTTCTGTGCAATTAGTGTATCATTTCCTCTAGTTCTCACATGGAAACGATTTGTATCAGAAAGCTACCAACAGAATTAGCATGAAGAGTTTGACCTGCCTAAGGAAAAAATGCAAAATCAAGCCCTAATGAGCACCTTCAGGTTTTGGCAAGCTCTGCAAACAGGGGATATTTGAGCTATCAGCATAGCAACACTCTCACGTTACCCACAAAAGTGACATGTCCAGAAAACAGCTGAGGTACATTGGCAGGGGGAGGGGAGGAACAGCATTGGCACAAGCTTTACCTACAGGCAAAGTGGGCAGTTAGCTAGGTGAGCAGATTAATCAGGTGGTAAAAGCTGAAGAGATACATTATTCCTATGCTTTGCTTGCCCAGCCTGAGCAGGTGCAGCAGTACAGATCCTCCAAGCACCCTGCCCTCAGAGAAGTCAACCTGCCAAAACCTCTCTGTGGATACTAGAAAAACCGCATGGGGAAGACTGAGGAAGAGGAGGGATCCAATTGCTTTCCCATGCTCCAGCCCCTTCTCCCCCTCCCCTGGAGGGCCCACGGCCTCAGGAAAACAGGCTGGGTACCCAGGGCTGGCACCCTCCGTGCACTGGCACGGAGCTGACCTGCTCTGCTGTGCCCTCGGAAACCCTGACCTGGCCTTCTACCGCACTTCTGTAACCATCACTGGTATTGTAACCGTGCTATGGCTATCCAGGGGAAACACAACTTTACTACTCCCAAAGCAAGGAAGCCAATTCAAACTCTTTTTTTTTTTTGCTTGATGCTTTTTAACATTCTCTCCTAAAAGGCCAAGCCTCACCTCGTATGAAAAATTTGTCCTGCTCAGGTTTACAGTTTCACTTAGTTCTAAGGCCTCGTTTACTTCTTTTTCCTCATGTTTTCAAATATCTAATAACTAAAATAAGGTTTTAGTTAATAAAAACCCTCTTTTTCAGACTGGTTTAGTAGACTCGTTTTTCTTCTTGACTTTGCATATTTTCCCTTAAATTTATGCTGTCATTACAATATTTTTTATCCCTCTCCATTTGCCTCCTCCTATGTTTGGTAATATTTATCCCCCTCTTTTCTCTCTTCTACCACCCTTGTCCCAGAATACTAAATATAATCTTTTCCTTCTGCAAGATACTCTTTCCATCATCAGGATTCTGCTTGGTTGGATTTTTGATAAATGCCCAGATTTTAGTAGTGTGAGAGCAAAAGCAAAGCTGTAATTCTCTGTGGGAAGAATGAATGAGGAGACAGACCTAGCAGCCCGTGCAGCCTTGACAGCATGGAAGAGCAAAGCCCAAGCAGACAGGAACAGGGGATAACAGTGGTAGCAGGCTTGGGTTGAGCTGAAAGACCACTGGGAATAGGAGTTATTTTATGTAACATCCATCAGACCTTCGTTAACCTCTCCTTGGCCCTTTGGAAGAAACAGTATGTAGGTAAGCATGATTACCACTATAACAAGAGTCATTCAGTCCCTAGTCACAAAAATTGCCGATGTGATAGCAAAAGCTAGTGGGAAAACCTGATTTCACTTGGAATTTCCTGTAAGCCTATACCCATACTCCAAATCAAAGAACCCGAAAGATAAGCGATTAGAAGAGTGTGCTAACATTTGCTTATGGTGGTAAAGTCTGTTAATAAAAACAGAAATTGGATGAGAATCTAAACTGGAACTCTACATGGATAGGTAGATATCCAAACTGTTGCAGCTAAAGCCCACACCATGAGAGTTCATTCCCATATAGGATAAACCTGAAACAGTCAGCTAAGTTTTCCCTCCACTGTTTTACTCCTAGGGAGACATGGACTTTTAAAACCTGGAGTAGCTTTAGTTGACTGTGGGGTGCTCCCCTCCTGGGGTGGAACATAGAGGTGTCTCTTTTCCATCTCCCAGCCAGGGCAGTCTTGCTTCCCATTTTTGCTCTCTGAAAATGGCAGCAATGATCCGATCTAAGCAGGTTCTCTCAGTACAGCTTTTTCCGTCACTTGATTCTCATTTTCTGGCTTACTTCTTCCTCTTGGCCGTCCACCTCATTACTTTTAAAGACACATTTCTTTCTCAGTTCACGTATTGCTTACTCTTCTGCCAGTCATTCTTCTTCTTCCTCCAGTCTGCGAACTGACACTTAGCTCATTGTTTATTACACCATTTTACACAGCAGCTAATAATAACTTTCTACTTTTAACATGTTTTCACTCCAGATCAGCTAACACCCCCCAGCCATAACATTTGATAAAGAGTTTGTTATATATGTATTCATCCACTCACTGCAGAATGGGTCGTGGTCCGAGGTATCAAAATAAGCTTTCGTCGGTGAACTCTTTGGGATTAACAGTTTTTTCCATCTATCAGCATAATAACCTGAAATCCAAAGTTTAAATATTTAATTTCAGACATTTAGCAAAATCGTGATACACATATAATTACATGAAAGAAACTCAACCAAAGTGACAGATTTGGCTTTAATTTTCTTACACTTTCTCTGAGAAAGTAAATTGACTTGGAAAATACAAGAATCCCCCGAGTATAATAGAATGTCGTATGCAAATATTTAAATATATTAGTATCACTAAAATTGTCATAATGTTGGAATCTATTTAGTCTAGAGTACTAACTCCAAAACATACTGCTTATAAATTCCTGCAGAGGTAATAAAAACAACCCCAAAAAAGTAGCCCACATATTTGCAGAGAACAGTTAGAGAACAGCTTCACATTAGGTAATTTTTTTTCCTTTCTTTTTTGAATCATCAAAGTAAATATTTTTAAACCCTCTAGTCTATAATTGTGGATATTATTTTTTAAAATGTTAGATACTCTTTAAACCTCCTAAGCTCTTGGATGTAATGTAGAAAGCATTTTTGTTGTATGCAATTCTATGCTCATTGTCTCTGGGGCTCGATAACAGTCCTTGTTTCTAAAGTGGATCTAAAAGGATCCTATTCCCTCCCTCTTGATTTCTTTACCTAGACTGGATGACGAGGGCTGGTTCCGGGCTGCAGAGCTGCCACTGCAAGGCAGCAAACAGGAAAGCTTGCAATAGAAGGATGCTGTTTCTCCTCCCAGTTACCAGATTCAGCTGCCTGTCACTTCCTCATAGGTTGTACGGTTATTAAAAAAAAAAAGGTGGCAGCTGACTGGTCAAACATTTCTCCACCTCTAGCTCGGGAATTCTGTGTAAGTGCATCAGGCATGGCTAATAACCATGCTGGGGAAGTCCTGGAGTCTTTCTGCCCTACTATAAGGTCCCGTTATTGTTGGGTTTTATTATAAAATAGTATACAGATCTGTCTGTGCTTTGTCTTCAAACCTGACCTAACTAATATATGTAGGGTGTACATCCTAATAGAAGGATGTGAAGAAGACAAGGTACGTTAATTTCTATTTAAATATTTTTAAAATTTCATTCTTAAGAAAACCCTGCCAACTAGGAAATGCTCACACTACTGTAGCTGTTTTCAAGCTGTCCCCAGATCCTCTCTAAAAGCAATAAAACCTCAAACAACTGAAAAACCCTCCAAATAAAAGCTTGATTCCAAAAGAAAAGCCAGAGAAACCATGAAGTTGCTAGAAACATTACTACTTTTAAATAAAAACCACAGGTACTCTAAGGATGATAACACACTATGTGAGCCTAAAGTGATCGACTAAGTAGAAGCAGTTTCTCTGTAGAAAGGAAATACACTGTGAATCCATTTTAGACGGGAAAGCACAATAATCAAAGATTAGGAACATTCAGCACCTGTGTCTAACAGAGATTACAATAAAGCAGACAAAGCCATAAACTTTAAGCTACTTCAAACAGTATGCAGCTCTGCACACGATCAATCTCTACAAATCCCTTTAACACAATACTACAGATCTCTGGAGTAGCCCCAGAAAGAGCTAGTCTGGATTTCCCGGAAAATCTCACTCAGCCCAGAGCAGATATCGTAACTCTTACCCAGTACTGGACAGGACATTGGCCGGAAAGCTTCACAATCAACACATTTTCCTCTCTTGTAATCCAAGTAAGAGTCACAAGGATATGTTATTATGTTGCACCTTCTTTTCAAAGACGATAAGAAGAGGAAGACAGATCTTTGATGGTCACACTTAAAATACTGAAGTCCTTCAGGAAAGAATGAACGAAATATACTAAGAACACGTAATCATTTTTCTTTGTGAAAGAAAAGGTGTTATCAAAGTAATCCCATTTACCTGAGTCATTCTTAGTTAGCCATGTTTTTATTCTCTGGTTAGTTGACCACCAAGTGTAAAAAATGGATGCACACACACAAGAAGAAGAAATTGCAGACTGTTTTGAATATTACAGGTACAGAGAAAAGTCTACAGGGTTTTATATGCAAGAAATAGTCTACTAAGTCCTATCAAATTTACAGAATTATTGTTACACAGCATGAGTCTGAGTTAAAATTTGCCTTGTTGCATCCCGTGCAGAACATTTTGGCAGAAAAACTACCGCGAGGAATACTTCAGAGATTCTTCTCTCTAGTTTTTTTGGGTAATAAATTCCTTCCTCTCCTAGAAAAACACACTATGAGAATTGTACAGATGAAGATTGATCCTGAGTCTTAAGGGATTCTCCCATACTCACAGACACACAAGTGGAAGCCCTATGCTTTTGCAGCAGCTCTAACTTGTAGCAGCACTGTGCAGATTAGTAATAGAAAGGTAGGCAGTCATAAACATACCCAAAAAGAGTAAATAAAAACAATGGGCAGCAACCTTGCCTTAGATTTATGGAGGCTGAAATAAGCAAAATTCTGCAGCAAAAGATCACGTAACTAAACTGTTTTCATCTTAGAGCCTAAAAGACCTGTCCAAAACCTAGTACCTCATTGCCAACCAGGAGGAACCTAAGACACAGTGAAGACTTGAAAGCCTTGCCTTCCGTGTCATATGCAAGTGATCCTGTCCAAACCACTTGGACACAAACATCTTCCCCCGTGCCTAGCCATATATAAACACAGAAAAATGATGATTACTATATACAGATTATATATAGAATATAATAATATAATTCCATCATACCAATAATAATGGTATGATGGAATATGTATGCTTACAGGAAGATCTTTATTAAAAAAAAAGATGTCAAATGCCTTTGTTATTTCTCATTTGCTGAGTGGGGATGGAAAAGAAAGAATACAACGCCCTCAGCCCCCATACTACCGAATATGTGCAGCGTCCACCGAATTCAGTTTAACCTCTTTTTGATTTGATTTCAAACTCTTTTTTCACTAACTGAACACATTTTTATTTACCGCTGAATACTGTTTGTGGACAACCAGGCTGATCCATTCCTCCATTTGGATAGAAATCAATGGTTCCTAAAGGTTTCTTGAAACCTAGTGCTAAAGTAAAAACATCATGAATCAAAAAACCATGAACAGAATTATGCAGTGAATTATTTATCATTACATTGCATTACAAAATAACATGAAGGTCACAAAGGAATTATTTTTGCAAATTTACTGTTCTTTTGTTCTGTAAATGGAACTCATGAGTTAAAACCCATGTTTTTTTTCTTTTTAAGAAAGTTATACACGTGTAAAATGCTGTACACAAATGTATACAAATTTGTGTAAGATTCCTACTACCACGAAAGAAAATGGGTAGAACAAAAGCAACTATTTAGTGCTGTAGCTGAGACATTATTTGCACAAAGAAATTTATGAAATTCATGTTCTCTCCAGCAACCAAAATTCTTTCCCAATGTAATTTTCATGAGAGTAAGATTTTCCATTTTTTGCACATGACATTGGATTCTGAGCTACACTAATATAAGCAGTATATTAAAGTAGGAAAATCTGTATCTATCCCATAAAAGACCATCAGTAACATTTAGCTCAATCTGATCTACCTTCCTTTTTACCACACATTATCTTTATTCACATAATTAGAGCATTACAGAAGTTGGATTTTATAGCTTCACATGTCAGATTGTACAGTAAAATGCTTAATTTTTAATATTATTAAAGAAACTGATGAGAAACTACATAAATAATGGGACAAGTGTGGTAGGTTTGAAAGGTTTACTTATGGTTTTGAAAAAAAAAAACAAACCAGATTATAGCGTGGATGAAGCAGACTTTACAATGTTCTTCATTTTAACCTTACAGTAACGCGATTTAGAATTTTAAGCAGTGGATCTGTATAGTGTACTAATATGATACAGCTGAGACTGGCTCTCTCAGAAGGGACTTTAATTCAGTGATAATCATAAGCTTACAACCTCTATGTTCATACACACTAGCACAGCAAAAGGATGTTTATGCTAAACTATTTTGCAAATAGCAGTATCATAAATTAATGCAATAGGCACGCTTTATTCCATGTGCAGACTTCTTTTTTACGTATTCAGAAGGAATATACTATAACAAACAAGACATAAATGACAGTGGTGTAATCTCTACTTTTGCATTACATTAAATATACTCATGACTATATGGTTATCTACATATGCCTTCAGTTAGCTGTTGGACATAAAAATTAATTCAATATTTTCAGGTTCAGTCATGAAACTTCACTCACTCAGTAACATGGCTACTCATGTCAGAACTGAACAAAACAGTCCATCATTGCTTAAGTCATTAGCAAAGTTGAGTTTCAATTTTGTGATGAATAGGCGTCATAATATCCAATATGATTTCAAAAGTCTAGATATTGTTAGAAAGCAACAGCACAGAAATCCACCTGATTGATAACACAAAATATACTTCTGCAACACTATTTGGGTGTAACTGAAATAGCTTATCCCTTCTCTTTTGCTTTCCTGCCTTTCCTCAAGTTGAAATAGGAAAGTTAAGGCTATGTCATTACCATCAGTATCTGAATGGATTACGTCAACAAATTGCGCATCAGTACGATCCAGTCTCCTCTCTGGTGGTTCTCGGGTGAACGAAGGGCCTGCTGGATCAAGACCTAAATGAAAATAACACTAGCATTACAAATCCTGGGGTCTGTTTCTACAGATACATACAAGAGCAACATTTGAGCATTATTCATCAATGAGACTTCATTTTCCTGGGATAATAATAAAAATAACCAGCACAATTCTTCTCAAGCAAAGCAAGGGTTCCTACCACAAGACTGATCAACCCGTATCTTTGAATTTCTCTTTCTCCTTAGTAAGTCGTGCTCACCTCCCAGTGAATCATAAGCCAACAGCATTAGAGATCAAATCAGGAGAATTAATTTTGTCCTTTTCCCCCCAAAATACTATGCCTATTAAGTACTTCATAAAAACAAAATGCACAATGTAACTACTCTCATTACCAGAACACAAGATGGGGACATCCTGGATGGAGACAATTTCAAACGTGCCTCAATCATTTTGTCAGTTGGTGTTGAAATTACTTATAGAAAAACAATTGTTATATGCAACTAAGTGAAATACCAGTTTTCGACCACATTTTCACCTGAAGGAGGTTTGGAAATCTTAAATCAAAACTCAACTATGACAAAAGAGATTCCAACTGACATCCACAAAAAGCACGTTTTATCAAGGAGGAGGAGATTTGAGTGGCAAAGTATTTGAAGCATAAACACTGTGTATTCTCATTCATTTTAGGGATAGGGAATTATTGTTATGCAGCCCTGAAGCCTGATCATTTTCAAGATGGTAATTTCTGTCCTTCACAGGAAAGTGAGATTGTTAGCTGAGGTTTGCTCTGCTCCTATCTTCTTGACAGCAAAAGCATAAACAAAGAGGGGAAAAGAAAAAGCAGCAAAGATGGAAAATACAACTGTCAAGGCAAAACATATTCCTTCCCTTACCCGACTCCTAATTGCATTTTCACTGATTGAGAGACAAGGCCAGTGTATGACCTTAGCTTATCCAAATTTGTATTATGATTTAACTGGGTTGACGGTTGGACTCGATGATCTTAGAGGTCTTTTCCAACCTTAATGATTCTATGATTCTAACTGGCAGATGTGCTTTAAGAACTAGTCTAGGAAGGTTCTCTCTCAAGATCAAGATAACCAAGACCCAAAGTACCACAGAGGATTGTGGAATGCCAGGAGTAAACATTCATAGTACCCCAGGTGACAAAGGTCATTGTTTTAGTCCACTAATTAGTTCTATATTTCAGAAACCTCCAAACAGTGAAGAAGAAAATATCTTTTTCTTTTTTTCTTTTAAATCTCATTTTTCCAACATCACTTTGCACCACTGGCTCAACTTGTTTGAAAGAAAGAGTATCAAAACAGTCACTTAAGAGGTTATGAGCCTTGTGTGTTTGGACTACTCAGTCTTTGCCTTTATTCATCCATATCTGTAATTATAAGAAGGTGATTGAAACATCTCATATAATTCCATTTACACGTGAGCAACTGAGTTTAGAAATTACATGGATCTACTAGTTCCCAACTATTGTACAGAGAGGACACAGACCTGCTAACCTCGCATTGCAATCAAGACTGTCCCCAAACAGTGATGCCAACAAACTCTAGGGAATTGTGTAAAGTGGAAATGAGTATTCTTAACCAAAGGAATATAGCTGGAGCCTATCACACTCTTAGAAAATGCTCTGTCTTTCATATTACTGTATGAAAAGGGGAGGAGTCTCCAATTCCCTTTCTTAAGGCTAGCTACTGGCTCCTCTTGCATTTTGGGAAAAATATTACTTAACTACTCTGAAGAGAGGGTTTGGAGCTATGAATCTCAAAGAGAGGTAACTGCCTCCTTTCAGCCTGAAAACAGCCACTCTCTTAAATCCTAAACACTATCAGGATCCAACAGTCCCATCTCCCCTTAGCACCTTTTCTGATAGCTAGCTGAGTCAGCTTCCTTCTCAACACACTAGCTGCAGTGTGTTTTGCTCTTTCACCACAAGAAGTATCTGGAGCCTGTGCACCCAAATTAGCACTGTGGATTCTGCCCTGGGAACCAGCATCTAAAAGTTAATCCTGAACTTCATGCAACCTTGGTCCTGAAAGACGTACCCAAATGACGGTACTCCAATTTTCATTGTATGCACCACTTCCTGCAGATGGCAATGCTGACAATGCAACAACTATGAGGTAAAATTTGCAGTATCCATACACAGGTTGCACACCTGATCTAAGCTCCCTGTACGAGATAGCTCAACGTACTAAAGCCTACACCATGTTCGGATACCTCAAACTGAAACTAAATCCTTGTGCCTGATTCCTGTGGTCTGACCAAGAGCTTTTGAACTTCCCTTCAGAGGGACCTGACTTGCTCCATCAACTAGACAGAAACCCAGGTAGCATATCATTTAACTTAAGTGGCATTTGGATGTAGCATTCAATTTTCATTTGAGAGACTAGAGGTAAACAGGTTGGAAAATTTCAGCTGTAATTTACGTCCTGAAGGCAGACTTTCACAATTTTCTGAACTTCTAGCAGGGATACATTTTTCCTCGTGTATGTTACTAGGCAGTTCTCATTTGTCGATATTTCAGTGCTAGCATCTATGTGATTCACAGCTATAACAATACAAGGTATATTAGAATATGTGTATCAGGATTAAAAGCCTTACCTGTAATTCTGCCAAGTTTGCCATTATACTTCTGGCCAACCAAACCAGCTATATGAGCCCCAAGACTAACTCCAATCATATACATAGAGTCAAGAGAAGCTCCGTTCACCTATGAGGGAAAAAAAACCCAAAGCCACAGCCACACACACAGTTAACTGAACAGACATCAGTAGACTGATTTAGTTTTCACTTTTTGTCAGTACTCTAAGTTACAACTCTAACTTCCTAACTTTAAAAACAAATGGAAATGACAAAGTTCTTTTCAGTTTGCCATGCTGTACTAGTTAAAACAGTGTAGTAATTATGAAATTATTTGACTAGAAAAATGTAAAAAGGAAGCTTGAGTCACATTTCTTCCAAAATGTCACACTAGTTAGAAGGGGAGCAGGAGAGGGAAGAGGAAGACATTTACCAGATACAGGAAAGATGAACCAAAACTATGGACTAGGAAAAAAAAAATTCTCCCCCTGCCTTAGCCTTCCAATAAAATAAATTAAAAACATAATACCATTAACAAAGACTTATACTGCAGAACTGCTGAATAATGGTGCCAAATGCACAACTGCAGGAAAGCCTTAAGATGCCCATTCTACAAAGCAGGCAGTATTTAAAAAAAAACACCTGCTGAAGAACTCTGAAAGAGTATCAGCAGACCTGTTGGAATCTCTGCAAAGCGATGGGATGATATGTGGGATCTGACATACAATGCATCTCAAAATGAATTAACAAAGGCTTCACGACAGCTTGCAAGTATGAAACTGATAGCTGTGGGACACAACATACCCCACCACCATCACTTCGACGACTCGCACAACAAGATCGGCCCAAGCATGCCCTGCTGTCATTGCTTTGCCAGGCAGATCTGTAACCAGCAATTAATCAAAAATCTCCATCAAGAAATTCGCAAAATACACCTTTTTAACCCACTCTGGACTGGAGACTGTTCTTGTAGTCCTATTTTATTTTTCTATTCCATAACAATAAATTTACTGTCAAAATTACAAATTGTTATCACTATATCTAGTCCCAGAGGACAGATTCTGATGGGCTTTCTCTTCTTTCACCTCAGCCTTTCTCAAAATGCTGGGTCTTTTACTCAAATTCCACATGAATATTTTCTTACTGCACAGCATTCAAAATTTCTGAGAATGGCTGGGAAAATAAGCGGTGAGAACAGAAGAAAAATCAAGTGCTAAATCTAACAATGGCATAAATGAGATGATAACGTTTTCTTCATTTGATTAAGCAACAAATCTAAAGCCCAGTTAAGACCACTGGCATCAACAATTGTTTCAGCAACTCCCTCTAGAATCAAGAAGTTTATATCATTTTGGAACAAATATTTATTCCTCTGTCAGTGATTTCTTTTTCATTTAAAATCTTTAATTATAGTAGTTTAAGAGTAAAAAGAGTAGAGCAATGCTTTTGTGAAATTTTAATGTTGCATACTATTTGAACATCTCTCACTTCACCTCCCCACTGGTGCATTCACTCTTTCCAGAAGACCTAAAACTTCCGGCTGGCTAAAGAAATCAGATGCACTCCCAGGCACACTTCAGTGAAAGGGAAGCAAGAACTCAGGTGGAGTTGAAGATATGCAGTAATAACTGCATGCAAGGTTAGTAAATACTTTGGTAAAGAAATGTCATTTGATGTTGTTCACTGGGCTTCTCTTTAGACCTATTTTAAATATCCATTCCCACTCAAGCTATGCTATTTAAACTTATTCAGAACAGATGCAACTCTCTGCCTTACCAGCATCTGGTCAACATAGTTCTTCAGTATTTCTGCAACTTTTCTGCAGTTTTCAACAGCAGTTATGTAATTCACAGTTGTAGCACCACGATTCCAATCAACTACAATGAGATTAATATCCTCTGAAGACAGTAAAAGCTCCTTTATGTCACCTAGCCATGCCGGTGGAGATCCTGTTGGTCTGAAGCCGTGAATAACAAAGACAATTTTCCTGGAGGTATTAAAGTACACAGATGCAGTAACATTATGTTCAATGAGTCTCTCAGAACAATTTGGATTTTCCCTTGTGTATAGCAGTAGCTGGACATGCAGTTCTGTCCCAGACAAAGCATTGCCTATATTAAGATCTGTAAATTCAGGACATTCTTCCTCCTCATCTGAAAAAAATGAAAATGTTAGACAGTCATTCGATGAGTTAGACCACCTGCAATACCGCCTCTTCACTTTTCTTTCCACATTTTTCCACTAACAGTGAACAACTTCCTTTTTCTTCACTCCAGACCTTTGCAATAAGGTGCCAGCATGTGCACTGAACAACAAGGACACACAGTTTAACTAATGACTCTGCAGATACCACTATGCTCCTCTGAACCCTTCAAATACAAAATTAACCTTTCCAATTGTTCCCGAACCATATATTTTCTCCATAACAAACAAAAATTAGTAGTCAGTGTTGATAAGAGCCTTTGCTTAACCACCAAATTTAGGTTCTCAGAATTTTTTCACAACTGGTATATAAACAGGAAGACTGCTGTGGTTGTTTCTTCCTCTTTTGGCCAGGGTGTCAAAGTTGCCAATCCTTAGACCTTATTGTTTGATCTAGCAATAAGAAACGGTTGCCTGACAGTACGGGGATGACCCAGAACCCTCCCCTAGTTTTGGATCACTGTAAGGACACCATTACCAAGGAACAAAGAAAGAAGAAACAAAGGATCCTGTTCTGAGTTTGAAAAAATAAGAATCTGTAAGGTCAATGTATGTAATGGCACAAGAAAAAATGTAGTATTTGGCATTTCTGTGCTCAGACAGTTGTAGCATACAAGGTTAAGCTGTAGATCACTCAGGATCGGCAAGAGGATGGAGATTTTCAAAAGAGTCCAAAAAGACTTAATTTTTCCCGTGTGCTTATCAACGTCAAAAGTTAATGCTTTAAAAAGTATCCCTTGGCTACTGAGGTCACATTGTGTGGATAAGCCACTTCAGGATTCTGGGCACAATGCTGACACCTGTCACAGTTCTTCTGTATGGCCTCTTCACCTTCACTATGCTGTTAGCTGGCGTATGGCCAAAGAAATCTGGGCCAACCTCTTGACTTCTAGTGGGCTATGCAACTTTATACAAGGCTTTTGTCTGATATTTGATGGCACCTTTCTCAATTTTCCTGTCATTAACAACTTTGTGAAACAAGACTCAGTCAACTTCAAGAAAGAAAAAGTAGGAAGAGAAATAGTACCTACTCAGTTCCTTAAAAAATAATAAAAAACTAACTTGAATTTCTCAAAATTTTTGAGTTACAGGAGAGGCAGGGCTTTCGCTTCTCCTTTTTCCCACAAGAGGCCAGCAGTTTTTCCCAGCGCGGCTAGCAGGCAGAACTGAATCCACCACATTTGCACATCTGAGACGGACAGTGAGCCCTCACCAATTTATAAAGCTGCGAAGGGCAAGTGCGGGGGGGTTGCAAGGCATCTGAAAAATGTATTTGATACTATAGTGCAGATCTAAACAAAGCTAAACAATATGAATCACTGCACTTAAGATGCAGTAAAGATGTGGTGAAGACAGTAACTCGCTTAGGGAGCTAGACCAATCACCTCTAGGCCAAACCATGTATCTACAATGACTAGACCAGTCACTTCTGGACTGGACATCACAAAAAATAATGGGTATTTGCAAACCGGAACAGGGTTGAAGTTACAGAGTGTTAGAAATGGCCTGAAACTTCCTGTCTCAAATCATCCACACAAAAGTTTCATTCCTATCATCACCTTACGACAATAGCTACAATTATTACGTCTAGGAAAAGTTAGAATTACCTATATTTCAAAATAAATATCGCTGACCTCCTATTTTGACATTGAATAATTTAAGTAACTTTTACTGTGATTACTGGACACATTATTAACTAACTAGTGGTACAAGAAGGCAACTCAGTTTCATTGCTGAGACTTATCCAAGAAAAAGTTCTAAAAATAAGAGCTATTCAGCTGCAGTTGCCTTGAATTTAATGAAAATGGTATTCAGGAACCCAGTAAAATGTCATACATGTGACATGCTACTGAGATGTTAATATAATGTGTCACATTTAATCCCTAGTTTTCATATAATGATATAAGACAATAAAATTAGAATAGAAATTCTGTTATACAAATGTCATATACAAAGCTAAATGAAAAGAAACAGCCACTTCATTAAATTTTTGCTATTCAGATTCAAAGCTACATGAAACTCTTCCATTTTTGCCTAATACTGTTCTTAAATCAAAGTTTAATCACTGATCCTTATAATTCTCTCCTACATATCTAACATATAAAAGATTCATGCTAAGATATTGTTGAAATGTTCCTCCATACCATTTAAATGTTTTGATTTCTTATCATTTGATTGGTAGAAATAAGAATTAATTCTTCTAAAGCCAGTGGAATGACAGTGACATAAAGCAGAGACACAGTCTGGTCCATGGAATTGAGAAATCGATCACAAGGAAATTATTTTAACTGACGAAACCTATTTACTAGCTGGGAAATGTCAAAGGGAAACAACTCATTTACTTATGGCTCTAAAGCGACAGCAGTTATTCTTTGAAAAGTAAATAGAGAAAAAAAGAAAAGATGATGTCTTTACTGTGGAATTAGATAAGTACTATAAATAGATTTATAGATTTAATACTTTGAATTGTTTAGCGAGGAGTCATTGCGGGGAGGTTTTTCAAACTCCTATTTCTGATTGATTACTGGAAGGAATACCCAGCTGCCCTTTGCACACGCTTGTGGGAGTACTCACATACACTTTTCTGCACAGTCAGAACATAAAGATAGGCATTGGGCAGTTACATATGCAGCTTAACTCAGTTAATATGCAATTTTAACTTTCCTATGTACGTTTGTAAGCATTTAAGTACCTTCGGTGGTTGAAAAGGGGAAAATCTTAAGTGCACGCTGACTTTTTTTAACTAAATTTTACTATTTAAAGCGTAACACACAACTTGAAAACCTGTCGACCTATCAAATCAGAAACAAAAAATAAACTTAGGTTAACATGTTAAAACTATTTCACAATTACCTCTTTACTTTGTACAAAGTGCACATACCTCAGTGTGTCTCTGTGCAAAGTACAGCCAGAGATAAAGTATCAGGCTTTGTTCTATTTACTTTAAAATGAAAGCCTACGCCTCAGTTTCAAAGTCATCAAATCCTCTTTACTAATTGTCTGCTCCATTAGGCATAATTCACAAAGTTTAATCTTCTGGCCAATTTAAATGAAGGAATATTCATTTTTTATGCTTCAATAAAGCCAAGAGACTACATCGCAAAGAATAAGCTAGCGGTTCTTACCCGATTTCACCCAGTATACCAAGCAGATGAAGAACCACCATTTCAGCATGTGGAAATGGAGAAAAGCAATACGTAATATCCACGGACAAGTGGCAAATCTAGTGTTTCCTTATAGTATGCTAGATTTCCAACCTAACTGAATGCCACTAATGAAGTAAGTGACACGTAGAGGAGGAAGCAGAAAGCAAAGCTCTATTCAAGCTTCTGCAATTCATGACTCCTCCTATTGAATGACTTCAGTAGGTAGGGTGGTTTCTCGTCTTTAAGGGTGGTGGCTGTTTTTTAATCTATTTCCCTCTCTCTTTGGCTATCAGCAGATTTACATGTAAGCCATCGATGTTATGTATTACTGACAACTCTGTTACACGCGTGGAATTTAGGAAGCAGAGTAACTAGAGGTACATCACATTACAGACCCACCATGTGTCTTTTTAAAAGCGTGTCACTCAACTGCAATTAGAGGCGCTGGGACGGCCAAAAGAAACTTAGAACAAAAAGTCATTTGGTGACAGAAGAATTTTTCTGTAAGAACTTGAAAATAATTCTGAGAACTGTACCTCCATGGATTATTTTTGCACAAAATTATCTTCTGAGCTTTTTCCAAGGAGTCATTCTCTAATCTAAATCCATAGGAGGTCTGTGAAAGCACTTATACGGGAGAGAGATGGAGCTTAGAGCCACACAAATCTCACTCAGACACTGACTTGCTGGGTGTTTTGGGTATGTCACTTAATTTTGTTCCCTCCGTTTCCCAAACTATAAAAAAGATGAAGAAACATTTATTTTTGTGAAGTTCATTTATTTACAAACCAATTCACTGGGTAAATACAAGAGGTCAAACTTCAGTTTCTTAGAGTTCACAGTGAGGCAAAGAGGCAGATAAACTCTGCATTATTCAAGTGAGACGTCTGGACGCTCAGTTTGCCTATATCTGGCCCCCAATTATTTCCCCTGCAGGAGAAAGAAAAACATACCATAACCACTCAAATATGAGGCAGATGCATCCCAGGAATGTTTTTTGCATAGCATATCCTTCACAGTGCTTCTAAACATAAGGTCTCCTTTTCCTTCCACAACAATTAAGGGGGGGGGTGGAGGGTTGTTTCTTTACTTACTTTTAAGTGATCGGTCTCTTCAGCTGGCTTGATGATTCTGAGCAGCTCAGCAAAGCTGTGCTACACAAGTTTCTGCAGCGGATAGTCTTTAGGAGGTCTCTTCAAAGTCCTTTCCCCTTTGAATGCAGCCACAAGGAGAAGAAGATGCAGTATGTCTACTCATATGAAAATCAACTCAGCTTAACCGGTAAGCTTTTATTACTTTTTTGCTTCCATTTCTCAAATTTGTCACCCTGTTCTCAGTAATGTTCACTAAGGCAGCTCTTGTTATGCCTTTGCATTCCCTCTTCATCTCAAATCTTTGACACGTTGCCCAACCATTACTGTAAAAGCACAGCCCTACTGACATTACATATTACTTAGACCAAGTAATGGTATAGTGTCAAGTTGGCTCTTTCCCCTCCCTACTTTTTACCATAGATTACTGTTATAGCAAAAACTTAGTGCACCCAAGCAACCACCAGTTAGGCAGCCTCAGCACGCACTCAGTGTGCAATACGCATTCATATACAAGTTAAAGCATGGAAAGCTCAACACCACTAAAAACAAACCGGCAATGGCCCTAGTAAAACATCTACCGCGCTTATCCAAGAGCCAATCGTCTGATCTTAGAAGAAAACCTTACATATGTACCTTTACGTATACCTAATGCCACTAGTTGTGAATAAATACACTTGTTCTTTTACACATGAACGGGAGAAAAAAAGGAAATTTTAAGTTCCCTCTTGAACCGAAAACCAGTAAGCCCAGCTCACATGTAAGTAAAGTACAGTGCCACCCATGTCAATAGAATGACCCATGAAACAGTTTTAAAGCCCTCTGAAACCAGTGTCAGGAAAGGACTCCCTTACTAAATGGACGCCCAGAAAGTTTTGCGGTATTAATCAGGATGTTGAACTAGTGCCTGTTGGACTCACCTCTCTGTGGTATGACAAGGGGACTTTGTTCACCAACAGTGGCACTCACGCCACTTAGAAATTCATAAACCTTAACTACCATTACTATTTACACTATAGTTTCTGCTGACATCCCACTGACAGGTAAATCCTTCAAGGTGACTCTGAGTTTCAAGTACACTGTCACAGATGCAAGACCCTCAAAGTTCAGGCCCTGCCCATCCCACTTTGCTGCATATTGTTACGTCCACTGCTTTTCTCACAAGGATACACTTCTCGCACTGAAATTCAGAGTTACCTGCTCCAAAAGTGCCTTATGCAAACCAGTGGAGGATGCCGGCACTGCCTCTTCAGGACTTTGACTGTCCCCCACAGCGCTCAGGACCATAGCAGTAGTACCTCCTGAACAAACCCTGACGCTTTTTGGGGAGCCCACAGTCCGCCAGCTATTAAAAAACCCTCAAGACTGGCCAAGTATTCAAGTTGAAAGAAAAATGTAAAAACTTCATTTTATTACAGTACAAGATTACTATGATTTACAGGTAACAGGATGGCACTTTTACAAATCAGTTTACCCCCCAAAGTTTCTGATGAAATAACAGCTAAAAACATTACAGCACGGTTTTCAAGATTAAGATCGAATTCTTACGCAAGACTCAATATCCTGATCTGTGGTCACATGTAAATGTATTTCCCCTTCTAATCTTCTCTCTACCCTCAAGGATTTTGTAATCTTGGGAAATCCCATTCTCATAGCAATTCTTGTAACAATTCTCATTTCTCTTATGAATCAAGCCACTTCTCCAGAAAAATTCCTCTCTAACCGCTGGCTTAACAGCACCGCTCCCTTTCAGGCAAGATGAAATCACACTTGGCTTTTGCAATGCAGTATGTTAAACTATGAAAAAAAGCTGTCTAAAGATTACAAAGGGAAAAACCCTGACCGGCTGGAAGAAATTTAAGACTCATTAGGTATTCTACACTGAGGCTTATAATTCCTGTAAATTGATAATCCCTTTCTAAATAGACTTCACGAGTCAGTAACTAAGCCTCCATTTGAAAATAATGGGCATTGAGGCAAAGCACACCATCTATGCTTGGGGAAGAAAAAAAATTAATATTTTTCACATTGCTGCCATCAGGATGACTCCTGAAAACGTGCTTCTTTGTAAAACACCACCTTAAAAATATATACTGAATGTTAAATGTGCGTACGTGCTTGAAACCTGTTTGTAGCAACCACGCGACAGTGGGTTATAATGCGGGCATAACTTCAGCTTTAAAGACAGCAATCATATTCCAGTTCTTTTTGAATCTTGAAAGACGTACAACATCCGACACTTTACCTGTGTATTCTATTAGTAACTATCACAACGCTTTATCATACTGACGACTAGAACACTTGAGGGCTTTAAAGGCTTTTGAAGTCTTTGTCACTCGGCCCTACTCCAGCAGCTGCAGCATCCACCTGCTCCACAGGCTGGCAAGGGGAGAACAAGGCGAGAACAGGTCTGTTCTCGTGTGGTTATGCCCTTTTCTCCCAGCTCTTCCCTTCGCTTGCAGTTTCACGCAGACGAGAAGGAAACACTCCAGGGGCACACACACGCTTCTTCCCGAGGCCACCTTTCTGTACAATACACGCTTCCACTCGCAGGTCTGACAATAATGATCTCTTCCTCCGGTCAGCAGGGGAAACGCAGAAAAGAAAAAAACAAGACGCCTCTTAACGCGTTGAAGCTCCCCACAGAATAACGGCACTAGCGAGCGCCTGCCCCGCCTGGCACCAACTCGCCGCACGCTCAGCGTCTCTCAAAAACGCTATTAAATAAAACGTAGGCCTTGCCGCAGCTACGATAACGCCTCCAGCGAGACCTACGCCCACCGCGTTGCGTTGCGTTGCGTTGCGTTGCGTTGCGTTGCCTCCCCTGTCCCCTCACAGCTCGCCCGCACGGCGCCCCCGCCTCTGCGCGACGCTCCTCCCCTCACACGAAGCCCTCCGGCAGCCCGCCCGCCCGCGTTGCTAGGACACCGAGCCCGCTCCCTAGCAACGCGCCCCGCCGCGCAACGCTTTACGGCAGCGGCGGCGCTTGCCCCATCTCCTCCCTCGGTGGTACGCGGCGG